GTATGGACAAACAGAGCTGATGACTGCAATTGGCTCAGTGGTAGTGGGATTCGAAATTACGATCGCATCAGACCCAAGAGACAGACATCAGAAACATACTTAATCAGCAACCGAGCTTCCTCCGCCATCAATTCACTTTCAAATGCAAGACTAGCTATTTGTCTATACTTGGTATGCCTGTAATTTAATCAGGCGAAAATAATTATATTCAAGTTCAAGGATGTACCAGTCATCCATTATCAATCGTGGAGCGTATCATATCCTGTTATTTCATGCAATGCCGATCTGTCCACCCACAGTCAACTGACAGATGAGATATTATCCTTTCAGGTTATCCAAATAGGTCATACAGTAATTATCGACATCCTATCTGGGTGAAGGTGATAATCCATCTGCCCACTATGTATGTAACCACTGCTGATGGATGCACAGAATACGTTTGTCACCGGGTCAGTTATACAACTCACAAAGGTGGTTGTTTAATGGATTTGATACTTAGTGCTTGGACTAATAGCCAGGTCTTTGTAGTTGACATTTTAGGTCAGCTTTGGAAGCTGGATTAGATACCAATACACACGTGGTGTTAATGGCGGGACACATAACCAATAACGTTCACGTCAATACTTAGAAAACAGGATTAGATTCGTTTATATAAAATAATTATATCAGAAGTTGATTATACAGATAAACTAAGTTTCTGGTTACTATTGGGAACAACCAAGGCATCATTTGCGCCAGTTCCGGTAAACAATTTGAGAATTTCTAAAGATGGTGTAATGATGTAAAAGTGAGTGAGTTGGGTAAAACGCCACTTTGAACAGTATTTCAGTTTTGTCAGTGCGTGGCAGCTCAATGTGGGTCACACGATGATGACTAATAGGAAGCTTAAACAAACAGTACGATTGAGTATCGTTTTAATACTATCATGATTCCCAATGTGTTTGATACTAAATGCGAAAGTTTTTCTTTCATATCTATGTAATCGAGTCCAGTCTCAAAGCAACGATTACTAGACTTTTTATCATATTTAGATAGAGTTTCAAGGACAGGTCGACACCAACTGTTCGGTCACTGGTTACAAAGTGTGTTCAAGAGAAGCTGGCGATTTGACTCCATACTGAGAGAGTGAACACAGTTCACACTATTGTCCTCATTATTCCAGGTGCATCACGGCAGCTTGCAAATAAACAAGTTACGGCCACGCAAATGATAGCATGAACAGCAATGAACGCAGTCTGATGCTGATGTTACAATCAGCTAGGTCGACAATAATAACCACCCAATCCTCATTAATCAGCTCTTCCGATTAGCAAGGGTATTGAGGATCTTTTTGCCCTGGGGGTGAGGGGAAATGCAGTTTAACGTCGCGGTTAACATTATTTCAACTGACGACCAAAAGAAATTTTAAGATAGTTTTAAATCACTCTAGTTTAAAGGACAAAAGATACATGCATGAAGTATGATGTAGAGAAAAGATCAAAATCTCAACGAAATCAGCATTGTAAATGACAGTCACACAGCATCCAATATTGGCATGGCAGTTGCCCGAATTGAGTAAGGGTTGTAAAAACAAGTTTCAACGTTTGGACAATGGGCACACTCATCTAAAATCGCTCAAGTTCATTGAGACGTCACATTACGAGCGTGTATTGTAGCAGGACATGCAAAAAACTCTTCGGTGCACAGAAAAAGTCAGTCGTCTGATGACATCACGTGGGTTACGTGGCCATTCTTCTTGGCAGCACCCCCCACCACCCCCCACCCCCCTCCACACACACACACACACACACACACTTTTTTTTATCATATATTGTGTATCGTTAAATCTTTTTATAGTTCCATGCTAGTTTTATATTCATATCTGTGATAGTCTAGTTTGTTTTACTGTCCTATGTGGACAGGTTTTTATATTGTCAAAATGTCTTTATTATTGATGTATAAATTGATCTCGTCACTATATGGCTGAAATATTGCCGATGTGACGTTAAATCTTAACTCACTCACTCACTCACTCTTGGCGGGCCAGTTCTTGTCGGTAGGCTTGAGGATGTGGTTGCAACACGGCGATCCATGCCATCCCAGAGGTATTCTTTGGGGGACATGTCTGGGGAGCGTGCAGGTCACGGCAACACGTTGACGTCATTGGCTGCAAGGACGTTCTGTACGTTTCGGGCTCTATGGGGTCTAGCGTTATCATGCTGATAAAAGACTCGACGTGGCGGCTGATGTAGAAATGGTCGGACAATCAGACGGAGAATGCCATCCATGTAACGATGGCCAGTGGTGTTATCTCCTGCCCACAAATTGTTCCCCGTACCATAACACCCCCTCCACCATACGACACGACCTCCTGAATGCAGCATGCCGCCGTTCGTTGTCCCCTTCGGCGGTACACACGCTGTCTTCCATCACCTCAGAAAAGAGAGAACTGGCCTTCATAAGTGAAGACGACTCTCTGTATACGTCGCTACTAACGACGTACAGTCCAGGCCAATCTCAATATCTGTCGACGATGTTGCGTTGTCACCAACTGTCCTTTTTAAGGTCTGTAAGTCCTAATTCTTTTATCCCTGAACCCTGGCCACTCTCAGTCGACTAATTATATGCCCTTTGGCATTCGTCGCTGATGACGTCACTGTCAGGAATGGATTCCTGAGATGAAACGTATGCAAGTACCGGTCTTCATTAGGCGTAGTTACTCTAGGTCTGCATGTTCGTGGCCTGTCTGATGTCTGCCTGGTCTGTCTGTGACGTTGCATCAGGTTAGATACAGCAACATGGGAGCAAATATTTTGCAATATCAATTTTAAAGTGGTAAAATTTCTTTTGGCCGTCAGTTTTTATAGCGTGTGTGCGCGGCTGTTTGTACTAGTTATGACTTATGACACTTTCACTGTGACTCACCTATTGACTCACCATGCTGCAGTTTTACATGAATACCCATCTCATACACATGAATCCTAGCCGACCATTCCTTATTTTAACCCCTAAATGCCGAGCGCCAGCAGATTAACAACAAGTCCGATATGCTAACGTCTTTTGGCATGACGCAGCCAGGGGATCGAACAAACCGACCTTCTGCTCTCCGGGCAGACGCTCTATCCACGAGGCTATGGAGGCGGTGACTTTGCCCTGGAATACTCAGTGGGTCACTCAAAAGAATCTGCCGAGATCTTCCAACAAACAAACTATCACTTATTTTGACCAAACTCTTAATATACATGTGATCTCTGAATAATATCAATCAATAATGAATTGATACTTTACACATATCTAATATCAAAGTTTAGGGTATGTATACAAATGCACAGTACGCTTCTGCTTGTTTGTGTGTGCTAACTTAGGGAGTGGTTGCTTATATAAAATGTGTATATGTCACTGTGCGATAACTTGGGGACTGGTTGCTTATGTAAAATATGTATATGTCAGTGTGCGATAACTTGGGCACTGGTTGCTCATGTAAAATATGTATATGTCAATGTGCAATAACTTGGGGACTGTTGCTTATGTAAAATATGTATATGTCACTGTGTGCTAACTTGGGGAGTCTTTGCTTATATAAAATATATATATGTCACTGTGCGATAACTTGGGGACTGGTTGCTTATATAAAATGTGTATACGTCAGTGTGTGATAACTTGGGGACTGGTTGCTTATGTAAAATATGTATATGTCACTGTGTGCTAACTTGGGGAGTCGTTGCTTATATAAAATATGTATATGTCACTGTGTGATAACTTGGGGACTGGTTGCTTATATAAAATATGTATATGTCAGTGTGTGATAACTTGGGGAGTCGTTGCTTATATAAAATATATATATGTCAGTGTGTGATAACTTTGGGACTGATTGCTTATGTAAAATATGTATATGTCAGTGTGCGATAACTTGGAGACTGGTTGCTTATATATAATGTGTAGATGTCTGTGTGATAACTTCGGGACTAGTTGCTAATGTAAAATAAGTACATGTCAATGTTCGATAACTTGGGGACTGGTTGCATATATAAAATATGTATATGTCACTGTGTGATAACTTGGGGACTGGGTGCTTATATAAAATATGTATATGTCACTGTGCGATAACTTGAGGACTAGTTGCTTATATAAATATGTATATGTCAGTGTGTGATAACTTTGGGAGTATTTGCTTATATAAAATGTGTATACGTCAGTGTGTGATAACTTGGGGACTGGTTGCTTATATAAAATGTGTATATGTCAGTGTGTGATAACTTGGGGACTGGTTGCTTATATAAAATATGTATATGTCACTGTGTGATAACCTGGGGACTGGGTGCTCATATAAAATATATATATGTCACTGTGCGATAACTTGGGGACTGGTTGCTTATACAAAATGTGTATATGTCAGTGTGTGATAACTTGGGGACTGGTTGCTTATATAAAATATGTATATATCAGAGTGCAATAAATTGGGGACTGGTTGCTTATGTAAAATGTGTATATGTCAATGTGTGATAACTTGGGGACTGTGTGCTTGTGGAAAATACGTATGTCACTATCTGATAACATGCTACTGGATGCATATGAAAAAGTATTTACATATCACTGTGTGACAACTTGGGACTGAATGCTTATGTAAAACATGTATTTGGCACACAAAAACATCGAACTGGACGCTAATGTAAAATATGCATATGTCACTAGATGCTTTTTGTAGAACACGCATCTGTCAACCCACAACAGCATAAAATATTTACATAATAAGTATCTATTCAAACAGTACATATCAGCAAGGTATATCATGCTGTGCTGATAGCTACATGTCCATTTGTACTGAACGTTGCAGCTCTGTACCTCGGGTGTCTCGTTTGCACGATATTTCTAACTAACACTTACGTTAATTTACACCACGTGTCAACACATTTCTCGTCAACATGTTGGTGTACAAATAATTACTTACACACGTAATTCTGGCTTAGTTAACGCGATATAGAACTGATGAAGCAACTCGTCCTGCCAGAGCCTCCTTATTTCGCCCTGACAGAAGACAGGCTAGAAGCAGGATCGATCTGCAGACGAAGAAGCCGTTTGCCTCCAGAGCTCCGTGAAGTCGTCTGCTTCTGGAGCATTCAGTTCGTTAATACTGTGTGGGTAGCACGTTTACCGCACCGTGCACGCGCTAGGCCTGGAACATTCACGTATTGCCCGTGCAAGTGTTTGACAAACAGGATGTGTATTTCTTCCTGGTTCTGATGGTGCAGATCGCATGGTTCACATCGCGAAGTGGATGTTTTTCAGTTTACCTTACACAGGTTAGGAACACAGCTGATTCTACAACCTCAACAAGTTAAAAGAATAAATTTTCTCAAATAGGAGATTAGGCATTGATAAAAGTGGCTTTTACGTGTGTTTTCGCTGTGGGAATTTATCAGGACTAAAATCAATTACACGATGGTGTGTGCCCAGAAGTGCAGTGTTTAAAACCTGCAAGTCAATCCAGATACACTATCAATGAACAAAGCAAGATCTAATCGCTGAGGTTCTCGTGAATGGATCCGCTTTGGTGTCACTCTACCAGGTCTTTAATTGATTGTTTCGCTGTTAGGCACTGAGTATAACTGATGGAAGTACACAATCTGTGAAGCGAACGGCAACAGGTAAGTTGACATGTGACCGTTTCCTAATATCACTTCAGGTTTTCAAGACCTGTCAATGACAAGCTCACAGTGTATTTTGTGAATGATTCCATGGAAACTGAAAGCTGGATAAGAATAGTTTCTGTACATCGCCTCATATCGACTGAAGGTATTATCATTTTGCATAACGTAGTGTTGCACTCTTCGGTAAATTTATATGGATTTCTTACAGGAAGGACCGTGTAATGTTTCGGGAATTATGAAAGGGGTAGATGAACGAAATTTCAGCATATTTTCTTGTGACTGTGTACGTGTTTTCTCTGTTTTCCATTTTGCTTGTGTAATTTGGTCATTAATGTGGTTCCTGTATTACAAGAATGTATTTAAAAGAAATTTGCAAACCCCTTGGGGTGGGGTGTGGGGTGGTGGTCTAAGCAACTGACATACATATACCTGCAAAAAAAACCTTTTTAACGACTGTATTCTGCATAAATTCTCTGGCGAAATACATTTTGACACATTCATATTGAAATGCAGAAACCAAAATCGATAATATAGTGACATGTTTTGCAACTGTTCTATGGCAATGGTCATTTGACTACCCTTGTATTTCCTTCCTCTGCTTCTCAGCATCATGCGGTATCACCCCGTCCCCCCGGGAACATCTGGAGAAGCATACAATGTTCTTATATCAATATTCCATCATGTATCGGTGGCATCTTAAATATCTTACAAAATGAAGTCAATATCATGTGTATATATTTCCAATAGATACACGGCAGTTTGGGAATATATGGAACTACAGATGGGGATGCTACTTAACTTTCGTTCAAGTTTATTTAACTGAAATGCACAGATATTTTCCCGTTCCTTATTTCGTGTTGGTATGTTATTACGATTTCTTTCAATGAAAGAGAAATATACAATTTCGTTAATACTAAATATAACACGTCTCGGTTATCTGCCGAAACAGATTCAAAATGTTGACACAAATTATATGTCTTTTTAATAGAACACTGAACATCAGTCATTACACCAGGCGTTCTTCAGAAGGAAAATAGCACTGATCGCATCGGTATAATTTATTAATGACGATAAAAGAACTTCAAAGAATTTTAACATTCAAACTACAGAATAGAACGTTAGTAATAAACTTACTGATTAAGACACGGCGTAGTGCCCATAACAATTGAGTTATTTATCCATCTTTACGATCAAGGCTTCCAAGTTTATAGAGCTGGGAAAAGTATCCCCCAGTGTCCTTTCAAGCTTCAGTTGATGACAGTCCGCACGAATATATCTGTCGACGCAAGAAACATTTAATTACATGCACCAGACACATGCCTGCAGTCAGATTGGTACGAGAGGACAGAATTATCTTGCTTCACTAGGCTTTACCATTGAATTTCATTGTTTCATCACAAGTGTTCATCACCAGTCGTGGAGATTTACTACTAAACATACCATATGCCGTTTATTGTTCCATACCATTATAATTTTTCAAACAAATTAATTAAGAAAAACTACATAAACAATGTCATACTGAGGCGGCTCCGTTCAATATAGAAAGATAGATAGATATAGATAGATAGATAGATAGATAGATAGATAGATAGATAGATAGATAGATAGATAGATAGATAGATAGATAGATAGAGTCTCCAAGATTGATGATAACATTTGGGATAATATAATGAAAGTCAGTGGTAAAAGCCTAGTAAAAGTTACCAGAAAGAGTATTGCTTCTACCCCATTTCATCCTTCATGGATTTAATGTCTTTTAGCTTTATGCCGTGTAAGACCGTTTACATTATTCATAGGTTCTCATGCTGCCTGTCCTGTTTAAGTGTTCCCCATTGTGCCTGATTGTATTGGGATGATTATGGCATGAAGATGACCCATCCTGATATCAGTAACCATCAGTAAACACAAGCACCATTTCGTGTGAAAGGAATTTACCAGTTGCCCTGCTTCTCTTAAATCACCCCCAGGAACACGGTAGAAACAGCGTATCTAGTCAAGCAGTGTTATATACAGTGTTGAAAATTACTGCTGGTCCGGCTCGGCGGGGTAATAGACTTAGAATGAATCCAGTCACTAATCCCGGATGCCCCACCCCGTGTGTCACACTGTATTCGTATCATATTTCAGTGTACCGTCCTTGTGGAAACTGCGCGTCAGAACAGTGAGTGAGTGAGAATGGCTTTACGCCGCTTTTAGCAATTTCCCATCAATATCACGGCGGGGGACACCAGAAATGGGCTATGGACATTGTACCCATGTCGGGAATCGAACCCGGGTATTCGGCGTGAGGAGGGAACGCTTTAACCACTGGGCTACCCGACCGCCCCGCGCGTCAGAACAGGTCCACAGCAATATATGCTTGTAACATGCGATTTAATGGATTTAGTAGTCAGACTCGGTTTGTATGTTGTTCCTTGTTTGTTTAACGCTGCACTCAATTAATAATCGAGTCTGGATCGGACGATCCAGTGATTGACATCGTGAGAATCGATCTACGCAATTGGGATACAATAACATGCATCAAACCACGTCAGCGAGCCCGGCCAGCCGATCCCGTTTGTCGCCTCTTACAAGCGTACCACTTGGATACTGAAGACTAATAATTATTCTTACCCTGATTTTCGCGGGTGTCAGACTCGGTGACTTTGGTGATGGCATGTCATCGTACCCCGATACCATGGATCGCTGCTCACAATCCAACCACTGGTTTGTCTGGTCCATACTCAGTTGTTTAAAAAAACGTCGCCATATAGATAGAATATTGCTGAGTGCGGCGTAAAACAACAAACACAGAAACAAATAGTCCACTTATCAGGAGTTAGTTGGCTTGAGACAAAAACAGATTTGGGGTAATACATTTTCGTTATCATTATTTGACTGTGTGGACGATGTTTTTGTGTTATATCTGCAGCAGTGTTGTTCGTAATATCAACCACTGATATGTTTGACCCTGATTTCTTTAAGTGAGGGTTATAACATGAATATTGATGGCTCACTTTTTGCAGTATACACTCACTCATCTTTTGAAATATATATAGATACGATGAAAATATTTACGTCCTTTTTTCATGTTTCGACATTTAGTCTAGTATTCATAGGACTATCTAGTTGTTTAGATGCCTCGTCGTACATCAAAAAATCTTAAGAATTTTAAAACTCAACCTACAGAATAGGACGTTAGTGTGTCTGTATTCAACCCTAAAATATTTACAATTTAAGACACCACGTATTGCCGATAACAACTGAGTTATTAATCAAGGCTTTCCATCAAGTTTGTGGCTCTAGGAAATGTATCCCCTTGTGTCTATTCAAGCTTCAGTTCATGACAGTCCGCACGAATATATCTGTCGACGCAAGAAACATTTAATTACATGTACCAGACACGTGTCTACAGTCAGATTGGTATATTTGCGCAACGAGAGGAAAGAGTTCCCATGCTTAACTAGGCTTAACCATTGATTTTCATTATTTTAGCCCAAGTCTTATCACCAGTCGTGGGGACTTATACTAACATACCGCATGCCGCTTTTGGGTTCATATGATACTAGTCTTTTCAAATTTGTTATAGAATAACCCATAAACAGTGTGATACTGTTTAAATATGCAGTTGCTCGCTGTAAAAATGTATTGCTTTTATCCCATTTCATGCTTCAGAGATTTAATGTCCTTAAGTTTTATGGATTATGATCCAATGTCAGCACCATTCCTGTGATTATAGATTATACCAGAGTGACAAGCGTGTACGACCTATCTCATTTCGGTAGTTCCTAACACATCAATCTTATCATCCAAAGCGGGGAAAAATACAATACACTCGTTCACACATCGTGGTATAACTAAAAAAAGTGTTCAAAGCGGGGCTTTATCCAACTCATTAACTTCAGCCATTTCATCTAAAAGGAAAAACGTGAACGTCAGAGAATATCCAGTTGCGAGTATCTGCCCAAACACATACCATAAGGCGTAACAGGCAAAAAAAGGTGAACATTACTTGAATGGATCACTGAAAATCAGTGATGACACATGTGTTCGCAAACAAGGTAAGCACGTCCTGTTCTACTGGTACAACCCGCCACTCACACAATTTGTACAAGGAAGTAAGCATTTGTATCTTGCTTAACGCGCTCAGCAGGAATCCTGCCATTGGTCCAGTCATGACCCTTTGTCTTTTAACTCCAGAAATTTCAAGTTTCACCAAAGGGATAAACATGTAGGACATGCATCACTTCGGGTCATGTGCTACTTCCTCATGTCAAAAGAGCTCGTTCAATCATCTAAAAATAGGAAACTAGACATAAGTATCTGCTTGGAAGCCTCAGATTGCTTCCTTGTAAGAAGGATGACCAGTTATTCTATAGACGTGACAGACTGTTTCTATGGACCACCAATGTCTACAGCATACAATACGCCGTGAGGAGAACACTATCAGTACGTGCCACCGCACATGGCTACGAGCTGTACCTCGAAGTTATCATTTCAAAAAGACAATTAAACTTAACGAGGGGTCGGAAATTAAACAGGAAAACAATTACATTAAGGCTTGCACGCTCGTAACAGCGAGCCACTGTGTGGGCGGGACCGATGGACGTGGTTTAACTGTCTCTGCTGGTGACGTTTCTGCCTTTAATGTGAAGGCAGGATCCTCGCCGATCTACGTTCATCACTACATTCGGATCCAATCGGCTTATTCCGTAACTGATAGAATACTAGAGGCTCCAATGGACATTGCACGATTTTACTGTAAACCGTGTAACGCCAGACCTCTCCAGATATTCTCAAAATTTGACAGTCAATTTTGAAGAAAGCTTTTGATATACAAGTGGTATACCAATTGATGTCAAGTGAATGAGTTTGGTTTAACGCCACTTTGAACAGCATTTCAGTTATATCATAGTGTGTCGACCCAGTGTGAGAGTCATTCCCGATTTATTAGATAGTGAGTGAGTGGGCGAGTTTGGTTTAACGCCACTTTGAACAGTATTTCAGTTATATCAAGG